ACACTCACATGCAGAAGTTCGAGTTCCGTGTAGAAATCACCACCAACCAAGCCCGAGTACGCGCAGCGTTTATGGCATTCAGTTAGCTGCGCGTATTTATTTTATTACTACGAAGACTACAAAGGTTTGCATGTCGATAGCTTTGATTGCTTTCCACCCCAACTGCTCCCGTGCCTTGGACCAATCCTGCCGAATGGCTCGTCTCTTTTTCCGCGACTGTTCCATGTTGTATTGATTACGGACTGGCAGCTCGTGATTAGTCAACTTATATTGCAAACAGTTTGTAACAGCTTGTAGGGATGCTGGCATCCTTGTCTTTCTAGGGTACCTCATAAGCGGAAATTTGTCTAAAGACTCTAAACAAGCCTGGTCGCTGGTACCTCATAAATCCAATCCTGATCCATTACCTTGCCGTGTCGTGCCAAGCAATGTTTGGGAACCTGTGTGGCGAGATGTTCAAGCGTGCGCATGTGTTCTGGAAGCTATGGCGAGATGTGTGAGTGTGCGCGCACACGCACACACACATACACACATGTATGCACGCGCAGAGCGAGTGTTTGCTACCCTTCTTTTCTGTTGACTCTATGCGTACCAGCGGCTAGACGATAAGACCCCGCACGCCTTTACTATAGCTTTGGTAAGTCGTGTGACACGGCATAACACGCTCATAAGNTCCCCCCCCCCCTTTCCCTCTTGAGTTCCACCCCTCATAAGAATGTGACGGCCGCTGTCGTGACCTCATTTGCATTCAGAAGGTCCCCTCGCCGCCCCCCCCCCCTCGAGTTACCACCCCTCATAAGAATGTGTGAGGGGCTATCACGCCCGCATTTGCATTCACAAGGTCCCCTTGCCGTCACCCTCTTGAGTCCCACGTATGTCATCTAACTTGGGAAAGATATCTCGTCAGCAGCAATGCGCAAGTTTGAGAAAGCCCTGCCCGGTTACGAGTGATACAAAATTTCAGCTTTTTTTTTAATGATATTTATAAGAAAACCCAAAGGCATTTTTTTACCAAAATTTGCATCATTCCATAGAGTGGACACATTAAGAAATGGTCACCGTACACAATTCCAGCAGTCATTAAATAAATAAATAAATAAATATTAAATAAATAAATGAAAATTTGGCCAATAAAATCTGATTTTCAGCAATGAAAACAGTTTACCCCGTTAACCACTGGTGCAGGTATCAGCTCGTACGGGGGTCTTTGAAAAAAAGGGCCGAAGGCTACTCACACCAGCTCTATCTTACAAGTACGTGCCGAAGCATTCACTGCCGGACATGTATGAATCTGACTGCAATACGTCCATAAACATGTAAAAAAAAAGTCCTAGTTTGGCTGCGCATCCCTTTGTACGCGATGTACACCAACATGCATAGCATGCGCGTATAAGAATGTTTTTTTTTTTTTTTCCTTTCTTTTTCCGAGTTTTCATTTCTAATTTTTTTCTCGCTTTTTGACCGAGGCAAAAGCAGTTCAGAATAATATCTTCTACGACATATATTTTTTTTCAGTATTTTCTTGTAATGCTTTCTTTTAAATCTTTTTCTTTTTCCACAAACGCGGTGCTGCGGGTAGACTCGGTAGAGTACAAAGGAGTACAAGCTCCATACAAGCTACAATGGAGTACAACGCACATGCAAAAATTTCGATATTTTTGTACGCGAGGCATGCCTACCCTAGTCGTGTTGGTATGCCCTCAGATTGGAGGAAGACCTGTCTGGACGACATAGGGAAAAAGCCTCGAAAACTTCAAAGAAGAGAGGAGAGAAGCAAAGACGAGGATCGAATGGTTGTGAAGTGAACTTTTATTTGATAATCATAACTTAATAAAGTTAATATTAAGTTAAGAAGTTAATAAGTTAATACGCTAATAATACATCTGCAATGATTCTGCATGCATCTGGGCCAGAACTTGCTCACAGTTCACATCTAGCATTCCAAATGCATGCAGATGCTAATAATAACTACCCTCTATAATATATGTTCTAAGCGATAAACAAGAGATCAGTCGTGTTAATTTCTGAAGCCCTGAATCGAAAAAGGTCAGCATTCCACCTGCATGCATAAGTTAACACGCTAATAATACATCTGCAATGATTCTGCATGCATCTGGGCCAGAACTTGCTCTCCGTTCACATCTAGCGTTCCAAATGCATGTAGATGCTAATAATAACTACCCTCTCTAATATATGTCTATGCGATAAACAAGAGATCACTCCAGTTAATTTCTGAAGCCCTGAATAGAAAAGGTCAGCTTTCCACCTGCATGCATCTGACCCAGATCATGCTCAAAGGTTCACAGCACACTCACAATACAGACTATGCCATTCTGAACAACATTCGTGGGAAGATACAGAAGCCAAGCAATCCACAAGAGTTTCGATTGCGACCACCTACCAACCCCTTTCGTTCGATAACTGCCGGAAGTAGATAGTAGTAGAGTGAAATGCAGAGCAGCAGTACATTGTGTAGCGGCATTTCCATTACCCGCAGCAGCAGCAGCAGCAGCAGCAGCAGCAGTGCATCGACCGTAGAATGAAATTTCCATCCTGCTGTGGCCTATCGAACGATCTTAATGAATCTTCACTGCTTTCATGCAGACATACATAATACAAAGAAAGAAGATCAGCATCATAACTTCTTCACCTCCCGTGGACGAATGCCTTTGCACGGTCGCGGGCAGGCAACAAGGGGTCGGTCCGTGGTCACTCACAAGCTAGATTCATTTCTGCCATCATCAAACCCATCCGTGAAGGACCCATTCGATCAGCGTATATATGTATACACTCCCAATCTTTTTTGCCCACGACACTTACAAACCTGTCCGA